TGGGCAGTCAGAGAAGACGGTGGTGGGCCAGTCGGAGAGGAGCGACGGTGGGTGTTCGCCGGATCTCCCGCCTCTTCTTCGGCTGGAGAAGAGAGAGAAGAAAAGAAAAAAAAAAAAAACTAAAATCCGTTTTCAGCTGAAAATGAAAACGTGAAAATGAAAACAGATTTTTTTCGTTTTCAGTTTTTCACAAAAAGACAAAAACATTTTTGTTTTTGTTTTCTAACACAAATTCCACCAAACACATTTTTCATTTCTGTTTTCAATTTTTTGCTTCGAAAAATGTGAGAAATGAAAACAAAAATGCTAACAAATAGGCCCATAAGGGAGCGTATGATTTTCATATCCTTATTATAGTGTCATCAAATTATCTCTAAATTATAACTTAGATTATTTTTATAATTATCCCTGAATTATGTATCTTAATTCAAAACGCCCTTTGATTTTTTAAAACGATTGAAAACACTCACTAAGATATAGAAAATGGTTTAAAATGCTCCCTCCATCCAATTTTGTCTATAATATTAATAGATTTGTAAATTTTAAAAAAAAAAAACTCAACTACGTTATAGCCGTTCACCCCCTCCCCTTCCCCGATGGCACCACCACTATCCCCTACCAGCGACCCAACCCACCTCACAACCACCCCCTCGACTCACCCCACCCCTCAATTCAGCAACCAATCTCCCATCTCGACGACTAGAGTCGTTGTCGCTGCTTCGGCATCGTCGAAATTAGATTTTTCCTCTCTCATCTCTACTCATCTCGTCACCGAGTCTTAACCAATTGTCGTATTCACTGATGATGATAGCGTCCTATTATCATATCTGAGACCTTCGTGAACAGCTGAGGGTGCTACAATTGTCAATGAACCCAACTCGTAGTATGAAGACTAGATCGCCGAACCTTCCAACACCGCGCTGAAGTCCATATCTTATGCTGTCAGAGAAGTCCAATTAGACCACGAGGGGCCATGGTGGATGAAACCCAAATCTCCTTAGGTTGGTTGGTTTAAGAGATTTCATTTAAAAAAAAAGAAAATTGAGCAAAATTAACCCATTTAATGGTCTTCTCTCAAGTAGATGACAATAAGGCCCCGTTCACTTCGCTGATTCGAGTTTAGAATGCGAGTTGAGATGTGATTTTATGTGAGAGCTTTTTACTGTAGCAAAAAAGTTAGATGTGATTGTTTGTGAGAGCTTTTTACTGTAGAAAAACTCAAATTCTAAACTCGAATCAGCGAAATGAACGGGGCCTAACTGTTGTAAATTTGAATTATTGATAAACTCAAACAAGACAAAAATAGATGAAAACATATCGACACTGCTCATCTTCAATGGCTCTAGTATGAAGATTGTTCATTTTTATTGGCTTCGACAATAAAGTTATGAGTAGAATATGAATAAGAAAAATCTCATTTTAATAAAATAGACATTTAACTAAAACGTAAAAATATTGGTCAATTTTTAATACAAGTGAATAAAAAAGTTTCATCAAACTTAATTTTCTCTTTTTATTTTCAAATTTTATGTTTTCTTATTATATTTAAATTAAAAGAGTATAAAAGTCATATTATGTATTTTTCAAATCTTTTTTTAATTGCCACGTAGGTACTTTCGTTAGCTTTATAAATAGAGTGGATGAAGAGAGTTATTTGAACCATTTTGTATGAATTGTGAATTGAGAGGTGTTATGAGCTATTTTAAAAAATTAAGGGACATATTAAAATGATATATGTGTAGGGATAGCAATTTATGTTGGCGGGTCGTGTTCGTGTTGTATTGACTCCCTTAATTGATACGAATAGGTTTGACACGAACACGATCCGTTTATTACTTATGTCAAAATATAAAACCCAAATACGATCTGTATATTAGCGGGTTGATACGACACGATACGAATAACCCGTTTATTAAATAGGTCATAAACATGTCGTGTCAACCCGTTGATTACCTGTCAATCCGTTTATAAAATGGGTAATAAATGGGTTGTGTTAACCTATTTCTAAACCAATTTTTGAACATGTTTATAAAATAAGTGATAAATGGGTCGTGTTAACCTATTTCTGAACTTATTTTTAAACTTGTTTATAAAATGAGTAATAAACGAGTTGTGTATTTGTGTTACCCAAATATGACACGTTTAATTAATGGGTTATGGCGGGTCAATTACAGGTTGGTGGGTAAACTTGAAAATAACACGTTATTTAATCGTATTTCACGGGTTTAACCTGATTTTAACCCGTATTTATTTATGATAAATCCAAATCCATTAATTTCGTGTGAATTTTGAATTGTATCGTCGTATCTCTACCCAGATTACCTGTACGTGGACATTTATAAAATTAATCCTTAAACTTTTATTACTTTAAGTCTTGTTTACTTCACATATTTGAGTTTTCAATTCAAATTAAGATGTGATATTTTTAAAAAATTTTTTATTATAATAAAAAAATTAAATATAATATTTTTTAAAAAATTTTTACTATAAAAATCTAAAATTAAAAATTAAAATTTCACTGCATTAATCACAACCCATATGTCATTCAGACAGTAAAACAAAGTAGTGGGCCGCACACGTTACTAGACAACTACTGTTTTAATTTTATAGGAATCGACATCAAGTTGAAGTCTGAACTGCCCACGTTTTCCTCGACTTTTGAAATTATTGTCCACCGACGACGCACCACGTGGAACGAGAATGAGATAGCACATGGAAATCCACTGTTCACATTTTTCTATTTATTATTGGTTCTAGAGATTTCTAGTCTTCACAAAAAGTCTTGGGGAGCCCCTTCTATAGTTGTATCTCACTTTTGCTCCAAAATCGATCTCAAAGTTGGTTCATTTTTCATTATTCCTCCTTGTTGCTAAAACTCACAAGTTGGACGATACTCAGTCATGGCGGCAATCAAGGTCCACGGAAGCCCACTCTCGACCGCCACGCAAAGAGCTCTGGCCACCCTTTACGAGAAAGACTTAGACTTCGAGTTCGTCACTGTCGACCTCTCAACCGGCGCTCACAAACAGGAACCTTACATTTCCAAGAACGTAAGCGCAATTATAAGAAGTTTATAAAAGGAGATATTTTTCTCAATTATCTTCTTCTTTTTTTGATCGATTTCGTATCTTTAATGTCCTCGGTTTTGGTGCAGCCATTTGGTCAGGTTCCAGCTGTTGAGATTGGAGATTTGAAGCTCTTTGGTAAACTTCTGACTCTTTTTTTGGTTTATAGCCGCTGATCTAAAATATCATGTTATTTTTTCAAGAAGAAGATACAGAACGGTGGTCTCCGCCGTCGTCCGCCCTCTGCCGGCGTTGAGGGGCCCGACCGAAGTGGTGGTTGGGTTCGTGCCGCTATGGGAGGGTGGTCTGAGGGCCTTGGCGTGGGTTTGGCCGTGGTGGGGCTGTGATGGCTCCTGTGGTTGGTGGCTGGAGTTGGGTGATGAGGACTCTGGGTGGCTGGCGTTGAGGGATCCCGTGTCTGCGGATCCCGGCGGCGATTGTTATCCGGTTTTGTGTTTATTACCTTTTTTTTTTTTTTTAATAAAAGCGACGTTTGTTCGCCCTCACGTTGTAATAAGGGTGGTGGTCTCTAGTTTTTAGTATCCGGCATGAGGCGGGTGTATGTCCATTCATAGGGTGGTTTTGATCTAGTTAGAATCTGTTTTAGGCTGCGTAGATGTCTCCATAAGTGGGGTTTATGATGTGTCCCTCCGGATTCTTATTTGTTTGGGAGGGGGTTTTTATTTTTTTTCTGTAGAGTTTTTAGTGTGCTCGTTTGTAGTATGCAGAGGTAGTTCCTGTCGTCGGGTCTCAAGTATGCGTTTTACGGGTCAGCGGATAATGTTTATCAGTTTTTCCTTTAATGCATTTCCTCTTTTTTAAAAAATAAAAAAAAGCAAATATTGTGTGAATAGAACCGAATCTGATGAAAATAATAAGGTTTAAAATTTTCCCTTATTTGTTTGTTTATTTATTTATATACTTATGAACATTAGGATACCAATAATATTGCGTTTGATATTTACAATCCGATGATTTGATGAAATCTATGGTTTAAAACAATGTAATATATTATAAAGTTATACGTATTGTTTGTTCTATGGTACTATTTCATTTGTTCTATGGCACTATTTCATTTGTTCTATGGGTACTATTTCATTGGATGAATGTATATTGCTACAACAAAACTTCTTTCCCTAAATACAAGACCACTTTTTGCAAATGCAGAATCAAGGGCAATCACGAAGTTCATAGCCGAAGAATATGCAGACAAGGGAACACAACTAGTTCACTCCGAGAAAGAGAAGAAGGCCGCTTTGTATGTTTGGCTGGAAGTGGAGGCTCATCAGTTCGAGCCAGTGGCTTCAAAACTGGTGTGGGAGTTGGTCTTCAAGCCGTTGTTCAAAATTCCTACCGACCCGGCCGCGGTGGAGGAGAACGAGGCGAAGCTCGGAAAGGTTCTTGATGTGTACGAGAACAGGCTGTCCAAGGCCAAATACTTGGCCGGTGACTCCTTCACCTTGGCTGATTTGCACCACCTTCCCAATACAACACTCTTGTTGGGCACAAGTTCCAAGGTGGTCTTCGAGAGCCGTCCACATGTCCAGGCCTGGGCGGCCGATATCACGGCCAGGCCGGCTTGGTCCAAGGTCCTTGCCCTGAGAGGCTGAGAATGTGCTGCATTGTGCTAGTATTGTAGGGACCTATGGTGTTTGGTTGATTCTCAATAAGCCTGTTTTCAAACGGGCAGTGTTGTTTGAGTTTGTCATGATCCATCTCTTATCAGTGATTTGGTTATTGATATGCTTTTGATTGGTCGTGTTGTGTTATTGTCGCCAGTTTGGGTGTTCCATGATTGTCCCTATTTCTATCTATGAATCGGAACTTTCTTTCCATGTTTGTTCCTTTTTTCCTTTTTTTTTTGGGGTCTTCAATTTCAACTGCAATGATGAGAACAGGTAGCGATTCAAAAGGCCATGGAATGAGAGTAGAACCAACAAACCAGAGGGATTCAAAGTCATACACATAATAATTAAAAGTATAATATGCGTAGACGTATTGTATTTTCTTATTTTTTAGCAATTTGCAAGTGTAGACAAGCTCCTTGAAGATACTGGGTCATCTTTTTGCTGTCAAGAAGTAAGGAACAGGGCCTAATAGTAAATTTGTGAACATTGCATGTGGTGAATAGGGCAAAGGATCAATTGTTTAAATATTTGTCTAGTTTAAACAAATTCCAGATCAAGTTTGTTAATGAGGAACCAATCATATCGAAAAGAGGCTTGATTTAACCGTACTTATTTGATCAGGCAGGAAAAGTTTTTATAAAATGTGATGACTTATGATCCCTTTCTTGGAGTGAACGTCATCTATAGAATTACTTTTTCCACTTCATAGTCAACTTATTACTCGGAAATGGATTAGTGCAAGCATCATCATTTTCTTTATTTTCCATCTCATATTTGCTTTTTTGTCATTTGACTAACATTTTCTTAATTGAATGGACTATTGATTGGAAGCTTTGACAATGCACCATGTAATACGCAATTTTCAAAAAAAACACTCTTAAAGAGCCAAACCAAATAGTGGACAAAGGTAAAAGAGCCGGTCCCAATTATAAGAATGGAAAATGATGTTTTTGAAAAATGATATTTATCCCGATAGGAATAAAACCTCATAATGATAGGTCTCACCTATTTAACGGGACTCACTTTATGTGAAAAATGAGATTTTAACTCCATCGGGATAAATAAATATGCTGTGTTTTTAAGTAAGAGAGCTTGTAATCCTCCTAGCCAAAAGGGGGGAAAATAATGAAAGAAAGAAAGAAAGAGCTAAGCTAATTTTCTCAATATTTTCCTTGGAAAATCCAGTGTTAATCTTTTTCCCACCAAATTCGAGTTATGGCTTGTCTTTAGGATTAATAGCCCAATTTCTAGTACATTCCTGCAAACACATACATAGAAGGGAATCCAATATTTTTATGAATGTAACTATGCCAGGGATACTTTTTAAGTTTTCAAGACCTTCCCAAAACCAATCCCACGTGTTTTGGTTGGTGGCTTGGTGCAGCTATTTGGTCTAATACCAGTTTTTGAGTACAGAGATTTTAAAGCACTTTGACAAAGTTTTTACTTATCTCTCAAGTCTCAACTATCAGTTTCACATGAATTAACCTACTTTGACCCGGTTTATTATGATATGTACACCTTCTCATGTGCAGAATCAAGGGCAATTTCACAACAAAAAGCCAACGAGTATGCTAAGGAGGGAACTGAGCTATTGTAATACAACTCAAAGAAGCAGCAATCTTGTTAGTCTGGTCAGAAGTGGAGTCATCAGTTCAATCCAGTGGCGGTTAGACTGACCTCAGAATAAGTCTTAAAGCCAATTCTTGGCATGGGAAGCTCAGAACTTGCGGTGGAGGAGGAAAGTGCACCAAGTTAGGATGGATTCTTGGTGTATACGAGAGTCGACTGGCTAAGTCAAAATACTTGGCAGGAGACTGCTTCAGCTTAACAGATCTTCTTAAATCCCTCGTTACACTACTTGATGGGAACACAGCTGTTGAAGTCCTGCCCTCCTGTCAATGCTCAGGCAGCTGAAGTTATGGCAAGGCCTGCTTGGTCTGAGGTTCTGACTGCCATGAAAACCAGACTTTATGTGGTGGCTAAAACATAGCTAGTCAAATGTTTGTCTTCAATGATCGATGGAAGTTAGATATTTTGTGTTTGACATCCATCTCCAGTGCCAAGATTCACGCTTTCTGCAATTCATTCAATAAGATCATCAGCTAAAGTCCGCCAATCCTATATGCACCGCATAATATACTTGAAACCATGAGAGGAGCAATGGCACAGTTATATGATTCCAACCGACAAAGTACTTTTTGAATCTGTTTTGAAAAGTTCCTAAATTACCAGTAAGAATTCTATATGTGATGCGGACACATATCAAAGAAGATGCAGACATATTTTAGAAAATGATATAGAAATAAATTGGGCTTCATTGGAGATTTGATTGGGGTTGATTGGAGAATGGAATATGATTGATTGATGAATTAATTGGGATGATTGATGATTTGATTTCTGATTATGTTTTTATTTATTTAATTTAGAATATTTACATTCCTGTTTTAGTCATGTAACCAGCCTATAAATTGGCTGCTTTGGTACTCTAGAATTCAGACTTGAATGAATAAGAAACACAGTATTCTCTCTCTCGACTCCTTGTTTCTCAATCTCCCCATTTTTCTGCTTATTTCTTCTCTTTTCTCCTCTTTCCCCCTCTTCTCTCATCTTCTCTTTCTGGTTCTACGTCAATATGTTTGTTCATACAGTACTTATATGCTGGTCGATTATCAAAATACTGGGCAAGAAGTGACTATTCCTTAAATCAAAGTTATCAGATAGCTGTCTAATGTCCAACATCAAAAGCTGAGACAGGGAAAAATATCTGGAACATTATCAAATACTTTTCAGCTAATTTGAAGGACAAAATTATTACTAAAGCATCAACCCTATCCTCAAGTTCTTGCTGCAAACTTTAATATGTAGTATGTTTCACCTGCAATAATGAAACTCACGGCAGAGGTAATTCTCATAGGCCAATCAAAATCATGACATGTATACCTTTCAGCAGAACTAACTGGCACAAGTTGTTCACGAGGAGCTATGCATTCTCCAAAGCTGATAATAACTATCCCTTTCTGTAGTTGAGAGGGCCTCTGCCTTAATTTTTGAAGATGAACATTGATGAAATAACATGACTAATTTTGCTGCGAACAATCTGTCGCATAACGGAGCAATCCTATCAATCAAGGGTCTAGAAACAAACATACCCCACAACAGTATAAGATTCATACACATCGTATTTAAACATTTAAATCTGCGATTCAACACTATACACATCCCGATTAAAGAAACGGACTAACCTCCTCTAAGCACAAATGTAAAGGTAATGGCTATGCTACAAATTGATAAACTGATTCATTGGGTTCAAGTTCCACAGAACTACAACCCAAATCTTTCTTAAGGCCTCTGTCTTTCATCATCCCTCTGACTTTCTCAACATCATCCCATCTTCCCATTTCTGCATACATATTGGAGAGCATTACATGGTAAGCAGCATTTTCCGGTTCTAGCTCAATAAGCTTCCAAGCAGCAAACTCGCTTAAGTCCAAGTTCCCATGAGCTCTACCACCAGCCAGCAGTGAACCCCATATAGTTTTTGTAGGCTCGTGAGGCATTACTTTCACGCATTTGAAAGCTTCTTCAAGGCACCCAGCCCGCGTTAAGATGTCAACCATGCAAGCATAATGTTTGACACTAGGTGAAAATCCATATTTCCCATCGACCAAGGCATCAAATATCTGTCTTCCCACATCTACTATGCCCGAATGACTACAAGCACACAACACTGCCACCAAGGTTACTTCATCCGCTCTAAACCCTTCTTGCTCCATTCTGTTAAACCACCACACAGCCTCTTTCCCACTTTTAGCAAGAGCTAGCCCTTGAATAACCGCATTCCACGTAAACGAATTTCTCTCCTTCATGCTTCTAAAAACCGCCAAGCCCTCTTCTATTCTCCCGCATTTCCCATACATATCGATCAAAGAAGTCCCCAACCTCACGTCCAACTCCAATCCTTCTCTCCTCACAAAGTCATGTATCCAAACTCCCATCTCAAGCGCCCCCGAGTTCGCGCACGCAGCCAGCGCATTCACCATAGTCACGCGATTTGGCACCACACCAGCGTACTGCATCCGCTCAAAAACAACCAGCGCGTCCTCGTACCTCCCACAATTCCTATACCCCATGATCAAAACCGTCCACGACACAACATCTCTATATGGCATTTCGTCAAACACCTTGCGGCACGAACCCACGTGGCCGCAGGACGCATACACGTCAAGCAGCGAGTTTCTCACGTAGATATCGCCGAGATGTCCAAGTTTGACGACATGGGTGTGCACGCATTGGGCGTGTTTCAACTCGCGGGAGTCGGACAAGGACTTGAGGAGAAAAGGGAAGGTGTAGTTGTTGGGAAGGACGTTGGTTTTTTGCATGCGGATGTAAATGGAGAGAGGGATATGATGACAGGCTTGGGAGTGGGAGAAGGCTCTGATGAGGGAGTTGCAAGTGAAGACGTGGGGTCGTCGGAGTTGGGTGGAGAAAAGGATGTGGGCAATGTCGTTTAAGAGGAGTGGAGAATGGGAGGCGTTGATTATTACGTGGTGGGCGATTGTGGTGTCGTTTAGGAGGTTGTGGAGGATGAGTTGGGCTTGGATTTGGCGGAGGTGGGGGAGAGAAGTGGAGGTGTTTAGGAGGGAGAGGATTCTGGTTGTGGTGTTGTTGAGATGGGGGAGTGGAACTGGTGCCATATGTGATTTATCCACTGTTTGTTTGTTTGGCGTTGGGAGTGGGGAGATGGGAAGGCGAATGTTTCGTTTGGAGACTGGTCAGCTCGTCCAGTTACCGATTGTCCGTGAGAAACTATAGAAAGCAAGAACTCTGCTACCAAAAAAAACAAAAGAAGGTAAACAAAAACTATAAAATGCGCATCCGGGGAATCGAACCCCGGTCAGTACCGTGGGAGGGTACTATGATACCACTACACCAGATGCGCTTCCATGCAGTTGGCGGATCTAAATTTATATTACTAAATTTGTAACCATAATGCATTATATTTTTCGTCTCCTTTCTGTCACTTCCTCTCTCTCTTCTCTCTCTCAGTCGGCCAGTCCCAGCCCCGGCGAGCCAGCCACCTCTCTCTCCCCCTATTGCGAGCCAGCCCCCCTCTCTCTCCGGCGAGCCTAGCCTCGACGACGCAGCCACCGGCGGGGACGACCCCCCCCCCCGGGGGGGCCTAGCCTCGACGACGCAGCCACCGGCGGGCACGACCCCCACCCGCGCGGCCCACACCATCGCGCTCTGCTTCCTCTCTGCCCCCGCGAGACTAACCTCGTCGCGACCCATGCCCGTCTCGACCCAGCCGCCATCGCAAATACCAGTTCGCCTATCACGGTAAAGATCTTGCTTTGACTCCTTATTTGGATTCGTTTATTGATTGAGCTTTTGATTAGTGTTTCGACTTGGATTTTGCCGATGTTTGTTGTGAAAGTTTACTGTTTAGTTATTCTTTTGAGTGGATGGAAATGGGTAGGAGTTCGTTGAGTGATGATTACAGATTTGGTGGAGAAGAAAGCTGATTGTTTGTTCTGCATTTCTTTTTCTTTAAACAGATTATTTGAGTTTCTTTTATAAATGTTCTTTGTATATTTTATTTGGTTGGTATATATGATACTGCTTATAGATTTGGTGAAGAAGTAACTTTGATCTGGGTTTATTTGTTCTGCACTTGTTTGCAGACGATCTGGGTTCTTTTAGATTGAATTTCTTCATATCTGGGTTTTGATGGACAACTGATCTGTAAATTTTGGAGGAAGGAAGAGAGAGAGAAAGAGAGATTTTTTAGATTTTCGTAGTTTTAATATATTTAAGAGAGATTCTACGGTCCGTGTATGGGTAGGTCATATTACTTTTTAATTTTTATGTGATTTTATGCGTATCTGACGAACCTACTAATATGTTGATGTACCGGAAAACCTCCCTATATTTAAAGCATTTCTTAAGTATGTTTTAAAAAAATTTTGTTTCTAATGAGAAAGGTACATTTCACATTTTACATCCCAAAAAAAGTCTTAGGGTACCAAAAAAGAATTTTTGAAATGTTAAGGTATCCACATGAAATTATCAAAATTGTTTGTGCGATTTTCCAAACATCAACTTCTGAGAGGTGCTCCGCCTTTTCCTCCGTCGTCTTCCGTTCCATTCTTAGCTGGGGGCACCAGAGGTTCAATCGCTCCCTCGATCGAGGTGGGCATCGATCCTTTGCACGCCCCGGCCTCGGCCTTGACACGTATGGTAATCTTAGATCGTCTTGGGAAAATCCCATAACACAGAGTACCAAACTTATATTCAATATAACATAAAGTATCAAAATGGAATTTTTCCTTTTCTTTTCCCGTGTCCAAGATGCACAGTTATGCAATCGAGAGATCGATTGATCTATCCATATAAATATTGTGGCAAAAAATTTGCAGATCTATATATCAGACACTCCAATCGTGCTAGCTATTTCATGTTTTTAGTTAAAATGCATGATGATTTTTAGCTTTTTTAGTTATAATACAGAAAATGAAATAGTTAGCCACTCCAACCATACTCATTGTTTAGCAAATTGGCCAATACTTGGAAGCCACTCACTCACTTTTGATTGATGATATTCTCTCTCTTGTAATTTTCCAAAATCCTCTAACAGAGCACGAAAATCTAATTGAAGAAGAAGAAGAAGAAGAAGAAGAATGAGAATCGTGGGACTGACCGGTGGAATTGCATCGGGCAAGAGCACCGTCTCCGGTCTTTTCAAAGCCCACGGCGTTCCAGTTGTCGATGCCGATATTGTCGCTCGCGTACGCTTCTCCTTTTCCCAATTTCTCTTTCCATTTCATCAAGCTATAATTTTTCTTTTGGCAGAATTGGTTGCTTAATTCGCAGAAATTAGCACAATTTTAGAATTTCTCACCACCATTTTGCATTCCAGGATGTGCTGAAGAAAGGCACTGGTGGCTGGAAAAAGGTGGTGGCTACATTTGGAGAGGAAATTTTGCAAGCAGATGGAGAAGTGGATAGGCCTAAGCTTGGCCAAATTGTGTTTTCTGATCCAGGGAAGCGTCAACTTCTCAACCGGTGAGCATATACTGAAGGCATTTTGGGCATTTTGTTGCACATGAAATATATTCTGAAGGCATTTTGGGCATTTTGTTGCACATGAATTTTCTCTTTTTGATGCAGAACTAGATTGGCCTAGACTTAGAAGTTGCGTTCCTGTTGTACCTCCGCCAGTTTTGAATTTTGTTCCTTTTCTCATATAGGGAATTAATGATTGATCTCTATTTTTCTGTTTAATCCAATATATGGTATGAATAGTTTATTTTCTCTCATACTCTGTTCGGAGCATAATTTTTCAATTTGAGTTTGAGCAACAAAAAAAACCTGAATTTTGCCCATGTAAAGGTTTATGTAGTTCAATGAATTCTGTTATTTGTTAATGTTGCGATTTGCTTACTGTAAATTGTAAACTTCATGCAATTTTATGTTAATGATCACCATTTTAACTGTTTTTCAGTTTTTCTTGTTGTCTTAAGTAGATTATGGAATCCTACTTTTATTCTCCACTGACATCAATTTATTACTTGCCGTTTGGCATAAAAATATTCTCAAAGTTGAGATAATATTCATATAGATTATTGAGTCTGCCTCGTCATTCATCAATATCACGGTGTGTTGATTCACAATCGACAAACCATTCCTAATAACAGAGGCGTTGTGGGGAAAGAATTAGTACGGTTTGTTATGTCGAAGTTCTGATACTTGGACAGATTTTGACCTACACAGGTCCCATTTTTGAAATTTTACTATTTACTCTTTACTCCAAGTGGCCAGAATATTCCTGGTAATAAGCTATGAAACAATTTGCGGAGTGTTATTTCCCCACAACAAGTTCACGTGGAATCAAGTTTCTGAATTTGATTATTGTCATCTTACAGGCTACTTGCTCCTTATATATCTTCTGGAATCTTTTGGCAAATTTTCAAGTTATGGATGAAGGGTTCAAAGGTGATCGTTCTCGACATCCCTCTGTTGTTCGAAGCCAAGATGGACAAGTGGACAAAGCCTATTATTGTGGTGTGGGTTGATCCTGAAACACAGCTTCAGCGACTGATGGCACGAGACGGATCAAGTGAGGAAGATGCTCGAAACAGGATTAATGCTCAGATGTCTCTAGATATGAAAAGAAGCAAAGCGGACATAGTGATTGACAATACTGGATCACTGGACGAGCTAAAAGAAGAGTTTCAGAAAGTCTTACATGAGGTAACTAGGCCCTTGACATGGACTGAATTTTGGCTTTCCAGGCAAGGGGCGTTCTCTGTTCTCATTTCCATTATTATTGGAGTAGCTGTATGTAAATCATTTTATGATAGTTACGGTTTGTAACAACTATAATAGTGACGCACAATTGCTTGAGATTTTCTTCTCAACCTGTCTGCAGTTGACGTGTTAAAAAGTGTATGTTCTGAGCTTCGGAATAGAAATGGTATTGTTGAAAAGGTTAGATTTTGTGTTTGCTAGCAGCGATGAATAACGAGTTCTCTCTGCTTTTGCTTTTGCTGTTTGAGATCACGGTTCATAACTTTAAATTCCTAAACTATATTTTGAGAGTAAAAGTTGAATCCATCAAGCAATTTTGTGGTACTAATTTGTTGGCTTGCTTGACATTCTGCTCAAGTAGCAACCTTTCATATTCTCGGAAGTCCACTGTTTTATTTCTAGCAAGCTACTCAACTTTAAAATAAATAAATAAATAAATAATACTAATAAGAGTCCCTCTGGATGTAAGCAACTCCTCAGAATAATATATACCCACTTGATGATTTTGTTAGCAAATGCATAAAGTTTATTTCGTTGATCCATATCTTAATTGGCTTGTATTATCTTAATTTGTTTCTTAATGATAATGTTCTTTCCTTTCCCCGAGTGCCAAGTGCGTAATCATAAGTCACTGCAGTGCTAAAGAAAAAGCCAGCTCAAAACCATTGGCTTCCCTAAAAGTGCGAGATAAGTGAATCGAGCTCCATTATTGCTTTGCTTTGTTGATATGGATGTTCTTGTACTGACATGTATACAGGGACTCTTATCACTGCATTTGACGCAGCCTTTCCAGTTGCAAAAGGTATAAAATCCCATCTCTAATGTTCAAATAATCTTCAAAGAAATGTGCCAATTGACATTGTTTAATGATGATACTATAATCTTTTGTTCTTTTTTCCTTCTCTTCATTTATGTTGTATATATCAATTATCTACAAAGATGCAAAGATGCAAAGATGTGTTGCCTCCATATCATCAACCGGCCGTCGTTTTAATGGAAAGCTGTTTTGTTCCGCATTAGGACCAAAGTTAGGAAGGATTTGCATGCCATTTCTTTATTTTATACTTTTACAGATACATTAGAAAAATTCCAACATTCATAAAAAGCTAGCTACATACAATAATGTTGAAAAATGGTTCAACTAATAGGCTAGACTAGTATAGTATATTTTCTCCACAATCATCCCCAAATATCTATTTTGTGCGGCTATCCATACTTCACAATTTCCAAACAAATTGGAATCTGACCTTCCATTAAAAAAGGGGATTTTTTTTTTATTTTTATTTTTTGGAATTGAGACTTTTATTTAAGGTTTTACTAGATTGGCTCTTTTTTTTTTTTTTTTTTTTTTTTTTTTTTTTTTTTTTTTTCCATTTTAGGCGCCGTTAATTTCACCAATTCGAGCTTTACTGCAGTAAAAAGCTCTCAGAAACAATCACATCTAACTTTTTTGCTACAGTAAAAAGCTTTCACATAAAGTCACATATAAACTCGAATTAAAAACTCGAATCAATGAATGAAACGGGCTCTTAATTCCTTTTAGTTAGATGTCAGGTCCACTTTGCTTGCTTGCTTCCCTTCCTATACCGAAGAATCCATTGCAAGAGTAACTGTAATAAAGTTGTACCGAATTTCAGTTCAATAATAAATCAATTCACAACCAACATCCTTATGTCTTGCTAATGGAAAACTCATCACGTATATATGGAAGTAGTACTTGCTGTAAATTAAAAAGGCATAGAATTTGAATAGGGCCCAGATTTAGTTGTATCTTAAATCCTACTAAGTTTGGGCATTCATTTGCTATTGTCCCCAATAAAACACAAATCTACCAACCACAACCTAACAAAAAAAAAAAAAAAACTTGGCCAATTCCATTTGTGTTATATGTGCATCAGAAATTTGTTGAAAGTCCATACAGCATTGATGGCCATTAATCTTATACTTCTTGACAAGAAATATGCATGGTTGCTTCCATTACATTTTCATGGTACACAGGCGCATTGATTCTGAATTGGCTCCATTTTTTCCCCCCTTTTCATGGTGATTTTCTAACTTGATCTGGAAGTGACAATGTGATGTCAGAAAATACTCCAATACAGTTTATTCTTCTAGGTATCTAGTGTTAAATATTTTGCTTTTATATGGTAGGCATATGACCCACCAAACGTGAAAGGGGAAATGCCAAGGAAGTTGCAATGGTATTTTCTCACTCAATTTGTTCACAACTTTACGCTTCTTCTCTTCTCTAAAGCATTGTAAAATAATATTGGGAGTAGTTTACAACCAAAAAAAAAAAAAAAAAACGATAATTCGATCTCCTAGAGATCTTGAATATGTTGTGAATTATCTAAAAAAAACGATAATTTGATCTCCTAGAGATCTTGTATGTTGTGAATTATCTAAGATTAGAGTCTGACAATATGACTTTAAGAGAACATTTCTGTTTACGTTTGAGTAGTCCTTTTAATAACGCTTAATATAGTATGCATTATGCTAACGCTCCCCTTCTCGCAATTTTTTTTTTTTTCATTAGAAAAAAAAAACAGCATATGTAAAAGATAAGAACGCCAACCTGTAAAAAACTGAAAATTTAGAGAGTGATTATTGCACCCTATTCTGTGCAATGAAATTGTATTGCACTATGTATTGCTGCACAGGCTTTAAGTCGAACCATCAGCCAGAACTCTAGCGCTTGTTTTGCATGCTTGTTTTCCAAAGAGAATCGCACTCTTAGTCCCTGTCTTTTTGCCTTTGATTCTGTTACATATAGCTCCTCATGACGCTACTTAATAGACACTTCTCAATTTTTGTTTGTTGTTTTTCGTCAAGGCCATTTAGTTTGTAGTTACACTAACCAGATGAAATCTTCCAGGCCAAATACAAACAGCCTCCTGATAATGACTTAATTGGGTCCCATAAATCATTCTGGGAATAGATTTGGGGTCCTCCAGAGACAAAATATCAGTGTCAATTAAAAAAGAAAATCATGATGAGTCCATGACAGCCGTGTGATCAAACATACGAACTACAGATTTGAAGATCCTACAAAAGCTGATGATAAATTAACTAGGGGACCCAAAAGTTCCTTTTTCTCCAGTATATATCACTGAAATGATCCCCAATCAGAATGTCAAGGTTCCTTGTCAAATGATGATTGGAGGAAATCATGTTACACAAAATTTCAAAAAAATAAATAGACAAAAAAAACATAGTGACGTGGCCAGTTTATGAACAGTAATATACCTTATTTTCTTTTTTGATAAGTATATACCTGATTTTCGTTATTGAACTAGATTAATAATTTCTTGGCTAGGTTGTCCACGCACAATTCCTTACACAGATCACCTCATTAAAAAAATCGACAATATGGCATGAAAAAATGCCATATGGATAGAGTTTTGTTTTATTCCGTTAAATTTGTATTAGATTATATTAATTTTACATATTTTTATTTTGTTGTGGTGTTGATCATATCTCTAATGTTACCATAGAAAGCCTTTTTTTTTTAAAAAAAAGTTTCTTTTCGCGGGTTCGAATTGTGTGGATTTAAACTTATATTTGAGTTTTTTGTAGTTCGAACTAAAACTTAGGTAGTGTAAGATCTAAACAGAGAATAAAGTTTAAACCAACGTTTGGTTACATTATTAAACCTATGAGCTTTTAAAAAATGTGAATAAAAATAGTTGGTGGAACTTTTGAGTTGAGTTTTGATCAGTAAATTAGGTTAGAACCTCAAGAATTTTAACGGGAGAGAGTAAAGTTGAGTTCTAACCTTTGGTTTTAGATTCAAATGGACCCCAAACCTAAACCTAAATTCAAATTTAAAATGTTATAAAATTAAACGAGATTCAAACCACAATTTAGGTTCAAATCCTCCACAATCCTCCAATCAAACAGCCCCAAAAAGTAATTCCTACCTGTATGGTATTATATATATCGGATTTGAACTCATATTGTAGTTTGGATTCAATTACTGATCATAACTTTTGTCTTCTTGGGACAATTTTGGTTTATCACCATGCATATGACGATGCATGATTAATCTTGGGAAGTTCTATAGCAAAGTTTTAGATCATAATGTTTTTTTCTGCGTGATAAAGAAGTTAATTAATTTTGTTCATGAGGTATACTGATTTACGAATCATGCAGCCTATAGACGTTTGTGATTTAGGAGCCTGCAAGCAAAGTGTCAATCAAAGTGAGTTCAAGACAAAACTTAATAAAATAAAGAGAATTTCAAACTTAATGGCTAACTTTTTTGACACAAATTTTAAATTTAATTGGTAAATTCAGCTTAATTAGTTTGGTAGTCATGGACCCTAGATGGTCACCAGACTTGGTCACATGTCATGGGAGTTGATGTGTCATGTTGGCTGTGGCTCACTGAGAGAGGGATGACGTGGTATCCAGACCAGATGCTTTTGAGTTTCTCTCTCCTACTTTTTTAATTCCTCCTACCCTCCTAGCTCCTCGTCTTCTTATAATTTACTCTCTCAGTCCCCTAATGTCATTTGCTTATTTATTCCCTCCCTGTGGGGGAAAAAAAAAAAAAAAAACAGAAAAGATCACCGAGGAACCAATCTCTCCACTAACTTCACCACACTCACTTTCTTTAGTTTCTTTCTCTCATCATGGCTAATTCTAATAAACCACCCGAGGAAGCTCCTCTAAAATACCAGGTTTTTTATAGCCTCTCATACATATATATATATATATATATTTTTTTTACGTAGCAAATCTATTATAAAAGTTCTAATGTTTTTATTAACAATCATATATCGAGTCTTTTCTCACGATGTTTCTTGATTTACAGACATGGGTGTTGAAAGTCTCGATTCACTGCGAAGGTTGTAAGAAGAAGGTCAAGAAAGTTCTTCAGAACATCGAAGGTATCATACACACTGCACACACATATATATGTACTATATATATATATTGTTCATGAGTTTTTTTACTATTTTTTTGAATGATCGATGTCGTGCGTTTCAGGGGTTTATACGACGACCATTGATTCTCAGCAGCACAAGGTGACGGTCACCGGGAACGTGGACGCGGGGACTCTAATAAAGAAGCTCTTGAGATCGGGGAAACACGCCGAGCTTTGGCCGGAGAATAAGCCCGCAGGGGAGAAGAAAAAGTCTGGAAAATCGAAGAACAGTGCTCAGAAACAGAAGGACGGCGACAAGGATAATAGTATTGTTGATCAAGATGGGGCTACGGCTGATAACGGCGAAAAGGCAGACAACGCCGCTAAAAACGACAGCGGAAAAGATGCAGACAGCGGCGGTGGAGGCGGCGAAGACAGCGACGACAAAGAAGACGGTGAAAACGATGACGCCGGCGGAGAAAAGGGTGGTGGTGGGAATGGTGCTGGCAAGAAGAAGAAAAAGAAGAAGAAGAAAGCTGGAGGCCAAAGCGGGAATTCCGGTAATGCAGGCGCCGGCGGCGAGAATCCAGGGGATGCTCCGGCGGCAGGTGGAGGGTTACCTTTGCCGGCAGGTGCACCGGATACGGGTCCCACCATGAATATCGGCCCAACAGTTCAGCATGTTTTCCCCTACCCACCGACCTATTACCAACCGGCTCCTCCTCCCTCAGTGTACGGACTAAAATACAATACGACGTACCAAAGCCCTAGTGCTTCATATTTCGCTCCGAGCATGCATGGGAACATGTACTCTCATCACGAGATTTACCCGGCGCCTGATCACGTCCACAGTTACAGCGACGATGACGATGATGAGGAAGTTGGATGCTCAATTATGTGAGAAACTAAAAGTACTATTAATTGCGACGCGATGGGATATTGCAAATTATGTGCTTAGTTAAGAATTAATGAGAAGGGTGCTATACGTAGAATATATTACTACCAGCATAAAGTGTAGTACTAGTGTGGGTGGAAAGTGGGGCTGATTTTGTACTACTGAGAGATGAGAAGCAACTTTAGTGTGAAAATATGTGTGAAACTTAAAAAAAAAAAAAAAAAAAAAAAAGGAAAAAGGTTGCGTGGTATTAAGGTGGTTCTTTAATGGGTTTATGGAGGATTGTCTTTTCTAGCCTTTTTTTTTTTGTTTTTTTTTTTTCACGAACTTTGTGCTTGCTTAAGAAGGACAATAGCCTTGTAATGTTTTGTTGATTGTAGGACCTAAAAATGCACCTTTTCCTCGCACTCTGATGTGTAAAGTAGATTTTTGTTTATGAAATCTCTCTGCTTTTCTTAAAAATGACATGCACTTCGTTTTAATAAGAAAAGCATGTCATATTGGAAAGCAGTTCTTAATCGCATATAACTCAAGTATAGTTCTTATACTTAAAGTATATATGGGAAAGAGAACGCGACAATAATGCAATAACAAAAATTATCAATAAATAAATAAATAAATAATGCAATAACAAATAGTAATTTTCAGGAATATATAGGGGTAATTTCCTTTATTGATGCTTAAAGACATCTTTTTAGAAAGCAACAAAACATGATCTCTCTTTGGTTGAACGTACGTATAGCTCTCCTTGGATATATATATATATATAATACTTATATATATTGTATGTGCTATATACCTTTGCCTTTTCTGCTCTTTGAAGAATGTAAGCTAGTCGTGTCCCACTTTGGATTGAAAGCTGCATGGTCTTGTAGCTTTTTTCTTTCTTTTCGAGTACCCTCTCGCCTGGGGACCAATATACCTTGAAAAAGACTGTTCTACCTTGAGTCCTTAATTACTATAACAAAAAAACTTAAGTGCAAGGGAGTAAATATAGAGACCGCTATATACGGATCAATTAAAGAGAGGAGATATTATATATATATATATATATATGTGTGTGTGTGTGTGTGTGTGTGTGTGTAATAGTAATATATGCATATGCATATGTATATGTGTACGTATAAATATGAAGCTTAACAATTTGTGATCCTCATGACCTTGCCTTTTTTCCATTGTAGAATATCCATGAGGAATTATACCTGATCTTGAGAATTTCTACACTTTATCTAGCTGCCAAATATTCTTCATCAAAAATGGAAACATCATGTCCTCAAACTTACAAGTTCATTCCCTAGCTCAACAAGACGAGACTGCAGGCTCAAAGAAAGGAATTTTTTTTTTTTTTTTTTTTTTTTAGTGTTGAATATCATTTCAAGTAAATTCTAGAAAGCTCCATATATGGGTAAAGAATCTAAGACACCGGTCAAAGATACACTTACAATTGTAATTATTCCTACTTTTCCAACTGTTTTAATTTTATAGCTCTCTACATATGTATAGCATCAACTAATTAATAGTCCAATCCCGTCATTTTTATTCCAATTAGATGCTTTAAAAAACCATTTTTTTCAACTTTCTTGTGTATTGGATAGCACCTTTTAAGTGCAAATATGTAATGATAATATGATATAATTTATTTGGGCCCTCCCGCTTGAGTTGTTCGGTAGGATCTAGAAAGGCACACCAGACCTATACAAATTATCTTCTTTTCCAATAAAACTAGAAGAGAAAAGAGAGAGAGAGAGAGAGAGGAAAAAATAAAGGAATGGCGTAATGGGCGAATTTCATATTTAAGTACTGGCCAACTACGTTGTGCCCTTCAATAAGTTTTGTCCTGATCATTTCTAATTCCTATTCAAGGTTGCTCTGTACGTGTAATCATTAAGTGCAACTTTTGGGTCGTGTTAGCTTTGAAAAGAAAAGCCTTTGAATGACAGATGGACCATATATTGTCTCCTTTAAAATTTTGTCAATAAAGAAAATATAAATTTTCGCAATGCTGAGATCACCAAAACACCATAAATCATGTAATTCACTGATCATAATTTATATAGCGTGTGTGAGAGAACATAAGATCATTTCGATGGAGAGACACAAAAATATATATGGTGAGTCGAGATCGACAACGATACTCCAAAAAGACAAATTCAAGCTGATATTGTGTGATTGTTGATGTTGAAATATATTGAAATGAATTGGGACGGTAAGTGTTGTACTATTCATTTTTGTAAAGAGCAAAGAATGAGAAGAGAATCTTATAGTGCAAAAGCAAAATGAAGCTCATAACATGTTCATCCTGTTAACATGTGATAGGATCAATTTGAGGTCGGCGATTGGTAGTTCTATACTATGAATGTTCCTGTCTTCCGTCGATAAGAAGAGGGGGGATTATAACCAAGTCGTTGACGAATTAACTTTTGTGGGTCATACAATATTCTTCTTTCAGATACTTTTTTTGGTGGTCCTCTTTCTTGTATTTGTTATTAGTAATTCAAGCTTAATAGCAAGAGGAATGAGAAAATTCTCTTTTTCGTATATTATTTAACAGATTTGAGTAACCATGCAAAAAACCGTAAAGTATAGACAAACCATGCAAAAAACCAAATAGTATAGACGAGAGACAAAACAAGAATAACCATAACTGATGGACAAGGTACGGCACGAGGTTATGTTGATAGATTTTAAAATAATATTGTAGCTCAATATGGTTGGTTAGACACCATGTAGCATTAAAATTGGATAGGTGATTTAAATTTGAAAAAAAAAAAAAAAAAAAATTTATAATAGGACTTTATTTTGAACATCGTACTTGTATAACTTTTGTGAGTTGTGATTAAATTTTTCTATTTTATTTTAATTTTGACAAATCAAACATTTAAAACATACATTGATGGCACGATTCATAGCATGGAAAGCTCCATAGTTTTGTGCACACTTTAACTTCCGTTATTAAACAGCACATTGTGTAAAAAGATGCTTATTTGCAGATTTTGTTTTTGTTGTTGTTCCCATTGCTCTCTTTTTCCTTTTTTTTTTTTTTTAGAAAGAATAGCTCTAATAATATGGTCGGTTGAAATTGATGACAAAGATAACGATGTTTCAAGAGCGTACAATACCAACCAGCCGTAAACACCAAATACTTTTAAAATAAAGTAATAAGCATATATAATATCAAACTGGTTTAGCCGGTGAGAATTATACTGTAAGTATTAAATAGATACCAAACTTTTTTCTTTTTTCAGGCAAGTCTTCATCTTCATGTATGTAAAGTCATATTGCTCCCACAAGCTGAGGGACCTTTGACCTCTCTCTGTAGAGTCACAACCAAATTGTATTTTCGTTACCAAGTTGCACGATTGGATAACGATATTCCTGTAACCGACCATTAAAAAAAAAAAAAAAAAAAAGCACTATTTGACAGATCCCCTTTGGAAGAACAACTTTGAAATAAACCTCACGATGAGTACTACTTTGAGTTTCATATTTCATATCACGTTATAACTTAAGACCACACGGGTTAGTAATGTTTTTATAACTAGTTTCTAAAACTAACAATAATAATAGTTTTTTTTCCATTTTTTTGAGTTATAATTAGTCTAGGTATTAGGGTATGAGGCAAATGTGACAATCCCACCCTGTGGATTAATTTTCTTCCAAAGGAAAATAACTTTTACAACCACGGTAGAAAATCTGTGATACCAAAAAAATACACCCGAAAGGTATGTTACCAGATTACTGGCGGTAACCAACCACCTATTTCTGCATCGGTGCTGGTATATGGTGTTACCGGAAGTAACGTGACGTGCTACTAATTGTCGTCTCATAATCATACGTTAGCTGATGTATTTCATTAGCCGCTACCGAATCACCCAAAGTATCCTACCATGTTATGCGCGGTGGTCTACTATGCCACTTGGCGATTTCTGCAGTTCCTTCAACTGTTTGGGTTATGCATATAAGAGTCCCCACAAAGTTGGTACTGTACAAGTACTGCTTTGGGCATTATAAATTATGGGCCTCTAGAGTCTGAATAGTGGGCTGGCTTGGACCAATTGGCCCGTTAGCGTTTTTTGGGCCTAGGTGAAAGTCAGTATGCTAAAGCTCCGTCCTAAATAGAAAAAATGGAGAATTTAAGTGCATGCATTTTAATTCCATAAATATTTTTTTTGTTAGCGTAATTATTTGACTAAAAAATTTATAAATTAAGAATAAAAAATAAAATTATGATTCATACGCTTTGAATTTACTAAGATATTGAATTAAAGTGGATAAGAGATAATGACATGGCAACTAATAGAGGGATGCTACTTAAAAGTCGTACTGATAATCAAACCTTTTTTTTAATTCATTTCTTTTTCACCCATTTCTTTCAACATTATCCTCAACTTCTTGGGTGGTTCCATAATATCAGCCATAAGTGGATTCTCTTTGCTCATAAAATAAAAGCATATCTAGTTTTCACATCAACATTTTGCTCATGTGGAGACATTTGGAACCCAAAGTCTACCTCAAAGTTAAATTCGGATTCCAAAGGGGCATCTAATAAAATTCAAAATTCTCACTAACATCAAAAAGTTTCTCAACGTTTAGCACTGATAAGATATGTAACTCCAATAATGCAGATAGATATATTTGACATGATCATGGCATCTAAATCTTAATATGATTCGATTAAAAAGACATCACTCTTTAGCTTTTAGCATAAAAAACAGTTGAAATTAGCACATATTCCACTCAAATGCTATTCGCAGAACTGTGGATATTCCATTATGGACATTTCCTTTTTATCTTGCACAAAGTAGTTTTTTATATCGTATTATTTTCTTTAAATTGGATTTTCTTTTCTTTCTCCTCTCTTCCCCACCTCTTAATTTATTGTGAACAAGTGTCATGAAATATCTCCATTAGAATGGTCCTTTTTTCAAATTGGGAAAAAAAAAAAAAAAAAAAAACTCCACCTCTTATATACGGATTATCTTATGTTTGCCCTGGTTCTTAAATACACACATATATAGATATTTATTTAATTTGTTGTGGACCCCACGCCTCTTACATGATCATTATTTAAATGTTAGCTTCCATATTTATTTTTTATCTAGTGAAATTGAGAAGATGTGGACAAAGTTTGTAAAGGAATCTTATTTGCACATTTTAGATAGATATTTGTTAATGAATATTAAAAATCAAAACTACAGGAATACTTTACACATAAAAGATCAGACATAACGGATTAGTTAAGATTTCATCCTTAGTTTCTTCTTTAATAATGTCCATTAAAAAATTGCAAACCCACT